AAAAAAAAAAAAAAAAAATGCCTTCCCAGCCTGTGGGTGGCCTCTGCCCCTCCTTGGCGGGCCTGGAGGGTAATTCACCTGTGTGTGTCTGCATGAGCTCTCTTGAGTAATGGCTGCACAGGGAGGGAATGATCCTAGTGGCCATTGGAACAGGAGCCTCGGACAGCTGTCTTTATGACCTCGGGCTGAGACTCCAGGCTGCCCAGCAGAGGATGAGGTGGCCTCTGAGAAGTGTCTCCTTTGGCCTCTGGCCTTGGGACTCCACACTCCTGCTTCCATGGATTTGAAGGATCCAACATTCGCCTTCTCCACTGTCTCCGGCAGGCACAGCCCAGAACTGACGGGGAGGTGATGCCCACGCTGGACATGGCCTTGTTCGACTGGACCGACTATGAAGACTTAAAACCTGATGGCTGGCCCTCTGCAAAGAAGAAAGGTATGCCCACCTGCCCCATCACCTTCCATGCCTAGACGCCCGGCCCTCCGGCACCATCTGTTGAGGTGGGGGCCCCAGTGAGCCCTGTCTCATCTTCAGATGTCCAAAGCTGGGACTCGGGGAGAGGAGGAGCATAGAGTCCAATGTGGAAACTCCGCTTGGAATGTAGAATGCTGTCACGTGCTTATCACGTGCCACACGCCTCCTTGTTTCCACTCACGTTACCCCGGGGGAAAATACCTGTTAGGTCTACAGTACTGTGGATCCCATTTTAGAGGAGAGAAAACTGAGGCAGAGAGAGAGGGGTGTAGTGCCTTGTCCAAACCACACAGTAGGGCAGTGGTATGGGCACTCCAACACCTGAGTCCCTGTGCTCAACCCCTCTCTGTTGGGCCCCAGTTTCTGATGACAGACCTTCTTGTCCCCAGAGAAACACCGGGGTAAGCTCTCCAGTGACAGTAACGAAACATCACCAGCCGAAGGGGAACCGTGCGACCATCACCAAGACTGCCTGCCAGGTACCAGCCAGCACCCACATTCAAGGCACCAGCCTGGGTGCTGGGAGGAAACCTGGGTGGGAGTGGGGGTTCCCAGAACCTGAGGATCCTTGACCCTTCATGGATGATAAATAATAACAACAGCTGCCACTTTCCTGAGAGTTACCATCAGACATTAATTCATTTAATACATTACTCACAGCCAGGCGCAGTGGCTCATGCCTGTAATCTCAGCACTTTGGGAGGCCGAGGTGGGTGGATCACCTGAGGTCAGGTGTTCGAGACCAGCCCGGCCAACATGGCGAAACCCTATCTCTACTAAAAATACAAAAAATTAGCTGGGCATGGTGGCTCACGCCTGTAACCCCAGCTACTTCGGAGGCTGAGACAGGAGATTCAATCACTTGAACCTGGGAGGCGGAGGTTGCAGTGGGCTGGGATCACACCACTGCACTCCAGCCTGGGCAACAAGAGTGAAACTCAGTCTCAAAAACATAAAAAACAATACATTACTCACAACAACCCAGTTTTCAAGCCAGGTGATTGAGCCCCAGAGGGGCAGTCTTGCCCAGGGTCCCACAGTTAAGAAGTGGCTCCAACTGGGTCAGCCTGGCTGGAAAGCCTGTCCACCACAGCCCCACACTGCCTTGAATCGGATGGTCCTCTTGCCCTCTTCCTCCTGACACCAGGCAGAGCTTAATGCTGTCCTTGTCCCCTCACTGCTCTGCCGGGCGTTCTGGGGATGCTTTTGGTGGCATCCTCACTGTTCAGCAGCTGTCCCCATGGAGACAGTCTAAAAACAAGAAGCCGGATATTGGAACTAATGCCCTAAACCCCTGGCCCTTGAGGGTCTGTCAGGCCCTCCAGGAAGCAGATACTGAAGTAAGTCAGAAGTGTGAGGCTGGGCGTAGTGGCTCATGCCTATAATCCCAGCACTATGGGAGGCCGAGGCGGGAGGATCACGTGAGCGCAGGAGTTCAAGACCAGCCTGGCCAACATGGGAAGACTCCGTCTCTACAAATAATAATAATTTTTAAAATTAGCTGGGCTTGCTGGTGTGCACCTGATGTTCCAGCTACTTGGGAGGCTAAGGCAGGAGGATCACTTGAGCCTGCGCGGTCAAGTCTACAGCGAGATGTGATCGCCTCACTGCCCTCCAGCTTGGGTGATGGAGCAAGACCCTGTCTCAACAAAACACAACAAAAAGTGCCGCAGATTTATTTTGGGGTGGGCTGGGGGTGGGAAACGCTTTCGAATGAGGAAAGTGGGAGGAGGCCGGTTTGGACAGAGGAAGCTCCAGACATCATGCAAGGTCTTGGGGGTGTGATGGGCGCTCCGGTGCAGAGGTGGCCTGTTAGATAAGGCCCATCCTGAGCAGAAATGGCCGGGGCCCCAGAACCCCCGTGCCAGTCATTGGCAGGGGCTGTGGGGAACAGCCTGCCATGGGCCAAGGTGGCCCTGAAGCTGCTCCCAGCTGGAGGCCACCAGCAAGCGCTTTCCCCGGGAGAGATCCGAGTGGCACACCTCCATGGCACCACGACTGTTAGATAGGTGACCAGAATATTCCACAAAATAGCAACCAAACCAGCAGTTAGCATCGTAGAAGGCAGACCACCAGCTCCCTGACAGGCTGCTTCATTCCCAAACTATTGTTTTCACTCTGGGCTCAAAGAAAAGGCCCGCGTTTGGGCAGACTGGTCAGTCGCCTGGGAGCTGGCTCCATGGCAGGTGCCCAGGGCTTCAGTTTCCCCATCTGTCAAAAGAGGACATTGGTGTCGGGGATCCTGAGGCCCCTCCCAGCTCTGAGCTGACTCCACACCTGGCAGCCCCCAAATGTTCAATCCGCTCTGTCACACCACCTTCGCGCTTCCCACAATCAATCAGTTGCCTATCTGAGGCAGCTGGGGTCTCTGCCGCCAACGCTTGGGGGCCTCGGCCATGACATCCGTCTGCGGTTTCACCCAGGAGCCTTGCACACCAGATGGCCCACCCCGCCAGGCACAGCCTGCCACAGAGATGATGGATCTCTTGTCCAGTGGGAACGAGTGCAGGGCTTCGGGGAGGGGCGGCTCGGCTCGGCTGACTGCGTGTGTCTCTGTGTTGGCAGGGACTTGCTGCGACCTGCGGGAGCATCTCTGCACACCCCACAACCGAGGCCTCAACAACAAATGCTTCGACGACTGCATGTGTGTGGAAGGTGGGTCCAGACTCCTTTGCAGGGGGCTCCGCAGGCTCTGAGAACCACAAAGCCTCCCTTTCTCGAAGCTGGCTCTGCACTGAGTGGGGGACAAGCTTTCCCAGCAGAGGGTGGATCGAGGGCCTGCGGGGGGGGGAGTAGGTGGGAGAATCCCTCGGGAGCCGAAGACGTGAGCAAGAACAGCTTTATCCGTGCCTTCCCAATCTGTGAACTCATTTAGTCCCAATTCTTGGCATTGTTTCTGAGATTTGCTTTTCTCAACTTTTGAAATACAAGCTGTCGTGATCTCCCACTATCTAGAGCGGGGAGGAGGGAGGAGACAGGAGCACATCTCTTTAAATTAGATCCAGCTTCAGAAGGCCGCCGCTTTCACACCCAAATTCTATCCCAGGGGAGACATTCCAAGTGTGATAACGGGGTGGGGGTGGGTTTCCCAGCATGTCGCTGGGAAGGATGCATTTGGCCAGCTGCCTCTTTAACTCTTCCATGCCCCCACCTCGCCTAGGTGCGCTGGCTCTGTGCTGAGCACTTTTCTACTGAAATCCCCATGGCCACCCCTAGAAAGGGGCTGTGGTGATCCCCACTACACAAATAAGCAAACTGGGGCACAGAAAGCTTCATGATGCCCAAACTGACACAGCCAGGAAAGTGGGGGGAATAGTTTCAGGTTTTTTTTGTTTGTTTGGTTGGTTGAGACAGGGTTTTACTCTGACACCCAGGCTGGAGTGCAGTGGTGCAGTTTTGGCTCTGCAACCTCTGCCTCCCAGGCTTAGGTGGTCTTCCCATCTCAGCCCCTCAGGTAGCTCGAACTACAGGCCCACGCCACCAGGCCAGCTAATTTTCATATTTTTGGTCGAGGCGGGGTTTCGCCATGTTGCCCAGGCTGGTCTCAAACTCCTGACTTCAAGCGATCCACCCGCCTTGGCCTCCCAGAGTTCTGGGATTACGGGCATGAGCCACCACACCTGGCCAGTATAAATTTTGTATTCTGCAAAGTTTCAAATATATATTGAAGTAGTCAGAATAGTTTAATGAACGCCCATTGCTCATCACTCTGCTTCGGTAGATACTAACTGGTGGTCAGTCTGTGTCACCTCTTACCTACTTTCCTTATTCTGACATGATTTGTCTTGAACTCCCAACCTCAGGTGATCCGCCCGCCTTGGCCTCCAAAGTGCTTGGATTACAGGCGTGAGCCACCGCGCCCGGCTATTCTGACATGATTTGTAAGCAATTCCTGAGAGCTTACAGTTACTTCACCTATGAATATTTTATTGTGCATATCTGAAAGACAAATATTCTTGACTGGGCATGGTGGCTCACGCCTGTAATCCCAGCACTTTCGGAGGCCGAGGTGGGCGAATCACGACGTTGGGAGTTCAAGACCAGCCTGGCCAACATGGTGAAACCCCCATCTCTACTAAAAATGCAAAAAAAAAAAAAAATTAGCCAGATGTGGTGGCACTCACCTGTAGTCCCAGCTGCTCCAGAGGCAGATGCAGGAGAATCGCTTGAACCCAGGAAGCGGAGGTTGTGGTGAGCCAAGATAGCACCACTGCACTCTAGCCGGGGCAACAGAGCAAGATTCTGTTTAAAAAAAAAAAAAAAGATAATAATATGCAAATGAGTCCTGCAGTTGTTTTAGAAAGTATAGACAGAAGTGGGCACTGGAGGCCAGACTGGTTGGTTCATGCCTATAATTCCAGCACTTTGGGAGGCCGAGGTGGGTGGATCACCTGCGGTTGGGAGTTGGAGATCAACCTGACCAACATGGAGAAACCCCATCTCTACTAAAAATACAAAAACAAAGAAAAAAATTAGCTGAGCATGGTGGCGCACACCTGTGGTACCAGCTACTTGGGAGGCTGAGGCAGGGAGGATCACTTGAGCCCAGGAGGCAGAAGTTGCAGTGAGCTGAGATCTTGCCACTCACTCCAGTCCCGGCGACAGAGCAAGACCTTCTCCGAAGAAAAGAAAAAAGAAATGGAGGCCAGGCGCAGTGGCTCACAGCTGTAATCCCAGCACCTTGGGAGGTTGTGGCAGACAGATCATTTGAGGCCAGGATTTCATGACCAGCCTCCCCAACATGGTGAAACCCCATCTCTACGAAAAAAGTACAAAATTAGCTGGGTGTGGTTGCTGTATGCCTGTAATCTCATCTTCTTGGGAAGCTGAGGCAGGAGAATCACTTGAACCCAGGAGGCAGAGGTTACAGTGACCCAGGATGGCGCCACTGCACTCCAGCCTGGGTGACAAGAGTGAAACTCCGTCTCAAAAAATAAAAATTAAAAAAAAAAGCAGTGGAGAGCCATGGAGGTTTTGCAGGGAAGGGCAGAATTTAAGCCACTTTAAAAAGTTACTAAACTTTTTCCTTTTCAATTTTCCAAAATTATAGACTTTTTAATTGAATTTATATGTGTATTTTATTTTAAAATTTTTTTGAGGCAGCGTCACACTGTGTTGCCCAGGCTGAAGTACAGTGGCACAATCAAGGCTCACTGAAGCCTGGAACTCCTGGACTCAAGGGATTCGCTGACGTTAGCCTCTTCTGTAATTGGGACTACAGGTGTGTGCCACAATGCTTGGCTAATTTTTACATTTTTTGTAGAGATATGGGGTCTACCCTATGTTGCTTAGGCTGGTCTGGAACTCCTGGGCTCAAGCGATCCTTCCACTGCAGTCTCTCAAAATGCTGGGATTCCTGGTGTGAGCCACCACACCCTGTGGACTTTATTTTTTGAGCAGTTTTCTAGAAAAATTGCACAGACTGTGGCGTTCTCATATACCTTCTTTGCCCTGCATGTAGTTTCCCCTATTAATAACATCTTGCAGCTGGACGCAGTGGCTCATGCCTGTAACCCCAGCACTTTGGGAGGCTGAGGCGGGTGGATCACCTCAGGTCAGGAGTTCAAGACCATCCTGGCCAACGTGGTGAAACCCCATCTCTACTAAAAATACAAAAAATTAGTCAGGCGTGGTGGTAGGTGCCTGTAATCCCAGCTACTTGGAAGGCTGAGGCAGGAGAATTGCTTGAACCCAGGAGGTGGAGGTTGCAGTGAGCTGAGATTGCACCATTGCACTCCAGCCTGGGCGACAGAGTAAGACTCCGTCTCAAAAACAAAGAAAAATCTTGCCGTCCTGTGGTACATTTGTTTTGCTTTGTTTTTGAGACAAAGTCTTGCACTGTTGCCCAGGCTGGAGTGCAGTGCTGCCATCTCAGCTCACTGCAATCTCCACCTCCCAGGTTCAAGTGATTCTCCTGCCTCAGCCTCCCGAGTAGCTGGGATTACAGGCGCCCACCACCACGCCTGGCTAGTTTTGTACTTTTTTAGTAGAGACAGGGTTTCACCATGTTGGCCAGGCTGGTCTCAACTCCTGACCTCAAGTGATCTGCCCATCTCCACCTTCCAAAGTGCTGGGATTACAGGCATGAGCCACCGCGCCTAGCCTCCTGCGGTACATCTGTTGCTTGACGAACCAATAGTGATAGATTACTGTTACTAACCGAAGTCATCGTGTACATTAGGGTTCACTGTGTGTGCATTCTATGGGTTTTGACAAATGCATGCCATGTCCCATCATTACATGTGACACAGAATATTTTCACTGCCCTGAATCCTCCCATGCTCCTTCCATGTTCATTTCTCCCCTCTCCCAGAGGAATGAGTCTTTTAAGCTCAATGGGGCTGCCATGAGGAGACTGGGTGGGTTGCAGGACAGAATAAAAGAGCCAGGAGAGGCTGGGCGTGGTGGCTCACGCCTGTAATCCCAGCACTTTGGGAGGCCGAGGTGGGAGGATCACAAGGTCAGGAGTTCAAGATCAGCCTGGCCAACATGGTGAAACCCCATCTCTACTAAAAATACAAAAAAAAATTAGCCTAGCATGGTGGCACATGCCTGTAAATCCCAGCTACTCAGGAGGCTGAGGCAGGAGAATTGCTTGAACCCAGGAGGTAGAGGTTGCAGTGAGCTGAAATCTTGCCACTGCACTCCAGTCTGGGTGACAGAGTGAGACTTCTTCTCGAAAGGAAAAAAAAAAAAAGAAGAAGGCGGGAGAGAGCTGGCAGGCCCAAGAACATGCAGGAGAAGGAATGGGAGGACTCCAGCCCTCTGCGCCTCTGACCTCCTTGCCTCCCTTCTCCCAGGGCTGCGCTGCTATGCCAAATTCCACCGGAACCGCAGAGTTACACGGAGGAAAGGGCGCTGCGTGGAGCCCGAGACGGCCAACGGCGACCGGGGATCCTTCATCAACGTCTAGCACCCCGCGGGACTGGGGACTGAGCCCCGGAAGTTTGCACAAGCTGGGCGATTTGTTTGTAACTAGCAGTGGGAGATCAAGTGGGGGAACGGATGGCTAAGGCTGCAGACTCAGGCCTAGGACACTCAGCCCCAGGAGGGGAGCCGCCCCGCGAACGACCTGGATGGGTGCCCAGCAGCCGGCCCGCGGCACCTGCACACCCACAGTCTGGATTCACGCAGCCTCCATCCCGCGTGTCCTGTTCTCCTTGATGGTAATGCCGAGAGTGCCCTCTACTGTCCGACTCCAGCACTGCAACAGCTTCAGGTTCAAAACCAAGGGGGGTTTTTGAGCGTGGAAAAGAAATTTAAACTTCCCGAAAGTAGGTCCACCGGCAGGAGATGAATACGGAACACCTCCTATGTACTGTGTAATCTCCAAGGCCCTTAGCACAGTGCTAAGCCCTGGATTACTTTATCTCATTGAAGTATCACAACGACCTTTTCAAGTAGGTATTATCACCATGCCACAGGTGAGGACACTGAGGCCCGCTGGAGTTGTTTGACTTGACTTGTCCAGGGTCCCAGGTCAATGCTTCTCAAACCTGAACATGCTAAGAGTAACCTGGCAGTCCAGTTAAAAATGTATATCTGGCTGGGCATGGTGGCTCACCCCGTAATCCCAGCACTGTGGGAAGTGACGCGGGTAGATCACCTGAGGTCAGGAGTTCCAGACCAGCCTGGCCAACATGGTAAAACCCCATCTCTACTAAAAATACAAAAATTAGCCAGGCATGGTGACATACGCCTTTAATTCCAGCTACATGGAGGCTGAGGCACCAGAATCGCTTGAACCTGGGAGGTGGAGATTGCAGTGAGCAGAGATGGCACCACTGTACTCCAGCTTGGGGGACAAGAGTGAAACTCTGTCTCAAAAAAAAAAAAAGACACATCCAACTCAGTGGGCTCTGTGCTCTAACAAGCTCCCAAGTCATGCGATGCTGCTGGTCCAGGGATCTCACTGAGAGGTCCCAGGAACCTGGGACCAGGAACATGGCAGAGCAAGGAACTGAAACTGGGTCAAGGCTGTCCAGCTCCAAGGCCCATGTTCTTCCCTCTCCACAACCAAGAATTTCTTCCAGATCCACCAAGCCTTTTGGCAAGAGAGGGTTGCACCCTGGTAGGCCCTTCTTCTGTAGCTGGAATAACTTGACAGTTCTCTGCCTTCCCTGGACAAAGGTGTATCATGTTTAAAAACAAAACAAACTGGACCTTAAGCACGTACTTGCTTGCAGGAATAAGTTGGGGAGATTGATCCCTGTGGTCCGATAGCTGACATCCTGGGATATGAAGTGTTTGGGGAAAAGAATCGTGTTGGACTCTATAACCCTATGGTCCTGCTCATCCAGTCCTGGGATGGGCATGTTACAGTTTTCTGGAGAGCTTCCACCCCAGAGGTTCTGATGTAAGCATGGACTCGAAAAAACCCACACATATTGCCCATGTTTTCCCACTTTGCATACAGTGTAGTGATTTCCAGGACCACAAAACCATCCCTGGACCCCACCCCATATTTTTGGAGCAGAGCCCACTGGGAAGTTGAGGCTCCCTGAAAATGAGGTGCTATCTGAAGCTAACTGTCCCTAACAGGCCAGACCCACAATGCCCACCCAGAACATCTGTCCCAGCAGATCTGGCTTCAGGTCACTTCAGGAGAACGATTTAACCCTCCTCCCCCACACTTGGCATCTCACTTCTGGCCAGTTCTCTGTTCCAGGGCAAATCAGGTTGCAAATGACAAAAGCCTTTCCTGGCCAAATTCCTCACTGGCCTGGATCACGCCCAAAAGATGCCAGGGATGTTTACTGCACTGGGAAAATCAGCCAGGGTTGGGGTCAGGCACCAAGGAAAGCAGGCAGATCTAGAAGAAATTAAATATGCTAGTTCTGACTCTGTCCAAGTTTGATGGGCATGGGAATCTTGCGAGGAGGAGCAGAGGCGGCAAGGGAACTGGGAGATCAAAGCAGGCTAGCTGAAAGGCAGATATAGCAGGGCGCAATGGCTCATGCTTGTAATCCCAGCACTTTGGGAGGCCCAGGTGGGCAGATCACTTGAGGTCAGGAGTTCGAGACCGGCCTGGCCAACATGGCAAAACCCTGTCTCTACCAAAAATACAAAAATTAATGCTGGGCACAAAGGCTCATGCCTGAAATCCCAGCACTTTGGGAGGCTAAGGTCGGCAGATCACTTGAGGTCAGGAGTTCAAGACCAGCCTGGCCAACATGGTAAAACCCCATCTCTGGGGTTGGCAGGTGCCTGTAATCTCAGCTACTCAGGAGGCTGAGGCCAAAGAATCACTTGATCCCAGGAGGCGGAGGTTGCGATGAGCTGAGATTGTGCCATTGCACTCCAGCCTGGGCGACAGAATGAGACTCTAAAAAAACAAAAAACTAAAAAATTTAAAAAGGGAGATCTGCCAGTTTCGTAGTCTCATTCTGTCGCCCAGGCTGGAGTGCAATGGCGTGACCTCGGCTCACTGCAACCTCCGCCTCCTGGGTTCAAGCGATTCTCCTGACTCAGCCTCCTGAGTAGCTGGGATTACAGGCACCTGCCACCATGCCCAGCTAATTTTTGTGTTTTTAGTAGAGATGGGGTTTCATAGTTTCGTACTTGAGACCAGACAACCCACATGCTGTGTGTGCCTGACATTAAGTGCCTGACTGGAGACTGTGCTGGCTCTGTGGGGCGAGAACCCAAGGGAGTACCTTGGGAAGAAAACCCAGCATTGCTATGGCTGGGGGACAGCTGTTAGATGGTCCTAGGACATCACCCATAGAGATGCATGTGCCTTGATTTTTTCATCTGTAACTGTCACTGCCGGCCAGGGCCGTTCCATGGTTGGAAATTCAAGGCCGATCTATTTGCCCTAGCTATCTCTATTTGGTATTTCCAAAGAGGGATGGGGTGGGTGGAATCCTCTCAACTCCAGAGTTGGGAATCCCAAAGCCCTCTCAAGTGTTTAACCAACCTCTCTGCCAGGAAGTTCTTTCTTAGGTCTATCGTAAATTTCTTTCGCTTGTACAGAAGCCAATATCCTCTAATCCAGGGTTGAGCAAACTTTTACTGTGAAGAGCCAAATAAATATTTTAGGCTTTGCAGGCCATCTGATCTTCACCACAGCTACGCAGCTCTGCCGTAGCCCGAAGCAGCGACAGACGGTGTGTAATGAATCCATGGCTATGCTCCAGGAAAACTCTTATGGACACACCTTTGAATTCCCTATAATTTCCACATGTCACAAAATATTATTCTCCTTTTATTCTTTTTTTTCAGAAGTGGAGTTTCACTCTGCTGCCCAGGCTAGAGTACAGTGCCTCTATCTCGGCTCACTGCAACCTCTGCCTCCCGGCTTCAAACAATTCTCCTGCCTCAGCCTCCTGAGTAGCTGGGATTACAGGTGTGTGCCACCACACACCTGGTTAATTTTTGTATTTTTAGTAGAGATGAGGTTTTACCATGTTGGCCAGGCTGATCTTGAACTCCTAACCTCAGTGATCCGCCTGCCTTGGCTCCCCAAAGTGCTGGGATTACAGGTGTGAGCCACCGTGCCCAGCCACAAAATATTAATATTTTGATTTTCTAAAACCGTTTAAAAGTGCCAAGACTACTCTTAGCTTGCCAACTACACAAAAACAGGCAGTGGGCAGATTTGGCCCGAGGGCCACAGTTTGCTAACCCCTGCTCAAGCCTGCTCGCTCTCAAACTTGGCTGCACGTGGCATGTGGGAACATTCAGAGGCCTGGGGCCCACCCACAAAGCTTCTGTTTTGTTTGGTCTGGCTTCATAGATTTTCCCCCAGGTAACTCCAGGTACAGCTGGGGCTGAGAACTGCTGCTCTCCCCTTCCATCTGTAGCAGTTCAGCTGTTGATAAATCTGTCAATTCCACCTCTCACCACCTTGGCAACCTTAGGAAAGTTTCTTAAGGTCTCTGTGCCTTGATTTTTTCATCTGTAAAATGGGAATAATAACTCTTCCTTCATAGGGGTGTTGTGAGTAGTGAATGCATAATTCTTCTTATTATTATTATTATTACTGAGACGGACTTTCACTCTTGTTGCCCACGCTGGGGTGCTATGGCATGATCTCGACTCACTGCGACCTCTGCCTCCCAGGTTCAAGCAATTCTCCTGCCTCAGCCTCCTGAGTAGCTGAGATTACAGACAAGCGTGCCACCACACCTGGTTAATTTTTGTATTTTTAGTAGAGACAGGGTTTCATCATGTTGGCCAGGCTGGCCTCGAACTCCTGACCTAAGGTGATCCACCTGCTTTAGCCTCCTAAAGTGCTGGGATTAGAGGCGTGAATGCAGAATTCTTATAAGTTGTTTAGAACAGTGCCTAGCACCTAATAAACCTCCAGTGTTAGCTAATTCATTATCCTAGGAGAACTTTAGGAGGTGTTCTGTTCTTTGACAATGACCCATCACATACCCTGAGGTCATTTCTAAGTCACCATTCAAGCTCCTTCTCCAAAGTCGGTTCCATAGAACACTGGGACCATGAGATGCTGCTTTAGAAAGCGGGGCGCGATTTCCATGGTCAAAGAGGTTTGGGAAACTGTTCTGGCCTTAGCCCTTGGCAGCATGTGCAGAGGGCTGGAGGAGTAACTGGCTTTGCAATAAAATAGGTGCAGGAAGCTAAAAAGACACTCTGGGCACGGTGGGGTGCTGAGCAGGAGGCCAAGTGGAAAGCAATGGCTGCTGGGCCCATGGCCTGAGCCCCCCTGCACTCCTCGGCCAGAGTCTCACCGACGATCCCAGGGATACCTGCTGTTTTCACGGGGCCACCTTTCCGTGGTTCGTCTGGAGACACCAAGAGTGGTTTCCGTCTTGCTGGGAATAGGCTGAGCGTGCAATGACATGAGGGCCAAGGCTTGAGGAACAATGACAGTTTCACAGCCCCCTGAGGAGTGACCAAGCCACAGAGTAAATCCTAAAGCCACAACCCCTCCTACCAGCAGGCTGCTGCAGGTGGGTCCTTATTTCAAGCCACATTTAACTCACCCAACGAAACCTAGCATGGAAGTGGAGGACACACGGCCCCTGCAGTGGGGTTCCCTTTGCAGCTGGAGAGACAGCATACATGAAACCTGCGAGGAGCATGTTTATAAAACAACAGAAGAGCCAGGAAAACAGTGCTGGGACAGACAGTGGAGAGGCCAGAGAAGCAAGCTATTGTGGGTCTTCACTGGGCGGTTTCATGGGGTTGGATTGCGCCCTGCCAGCTCCGTGATAATCTTCACTCACAGGCAATGTGTCTTTCCTGGGGATGAGGTCAGCAGGGAAGGGCAGTTTGTAGAACCAGGGGTTTCTATTTCAGGGAGTGTATTTTCTGAATTCTAAGTCAGAACAAGCAGTCTGATACATGATCCGTGGCCGGGTGGCTTCTGGGTGCAAGAAGCTTTCTAGACCCTAGACACTCAGATTACAGTCCCAGGCTGATAACAGCACCCAGGAGCCTGGTAGAAACTCAGAATCTTAGCCTGGGCAACATAGGGGGACCTTGTCTCTGCAAAAAATAAGATTAGCTGGGCATGGTGGTGCACATCTGCAGTCCAAGCTACTCTCCAGGCTGAGGTGGGAGGATTGCTTGAGCCCAGGAGGTCCAGGCTGCAGTGAGCCATGATCACGCCACTGCACTCAAGCTTGGGTGACAGAGCGAGACCCTGTCTCAAAAAAAAAAAAAAAAAAAAAAAAAAAAAAAACAAAAAGAAATGCAGAATCCAGCCATTTGGCTTTTCACAAGTTCTCCAGGTCATTCTTGGGCACGATGGAGTTTGAGAATCACACGTCTAGGATGTGAAGGGGCAAACAGAAATGTGGGGTGGTCAGGAGCATTTGGATAGTTTGGGGTATTTGCATTCCGGTGTGAGTTGGCAAATCTGAGACCTGGTTTGCCTAGCTAATTACCAGCAATGAGAAACTCCCAGGCTCTGAGGCCCAACGCTCCTGGGCTGCAACTGGTCTTTATTTTTGGTGGAAATGAAGTGAAGCACCTCAGCCTGGGACCCTCAGTGTAGGGTCTTCTGACTCTTAGGAAATTTCCTGGGGCGTTGTAGTTCCTCTTAAAGTTTGGGTGCAGCAGTGGGAGAGGGAAGTGCCACGCCTTTGTAGTCCCATGACGTCATGTTGCATGTGCTCTTGAGCTGTAAATAAAGAGAAGATTGTTAATAAGCCCACCCGGCGTTTCTCTGTTCCTTCAGGAGATGGTTTGTCCGTGGTGGTAGTGAGCTCTACAGGGGCATTTGGAGGGGGCTCTAGGCCTGCTGCTCCCCTCAGGACTTCTCAACACACTGGATTGAGCATTTGCCTGCCCCTGCCTGGTCCTCATTAAAATCCCTTAGCCAGACCTCTTGACTGTGAGTCCTAGATTTTTTTTTTTTTTTGAGATGAGTCTTGCTCGGTCACCCAGGCTGGAGTGTAGTGGCACAATCTCGGCTCACTGCAACCTCCGCCTCCCAGGCTCGAGCAATTCTTATGCCTCAGCCTCCGGAGTAGCTAGTACTACAATCATGTGCCACCACGCCCAGCTAATCTTTGTATTTTTAGTAGAGACGGGGTTTCACCACGTTGGCGAGACTGATCTCGAACTTCTGACCTCAGGTGATCTGCCAGCCTCGGCCTCTCAAAGTGCTGGGATTGCAGGCATGAGCCACTGCACCCAGCCAGAGTCCCAGATTTATATCTCCCTATCCATTTTAGGGTTGGGGCAGCTGAGGTCCCAAAGAGATTCTGAGATAGGTCTCAGCAGGCTGGTCCCCAGCAGCTTCCTTCCGGGCCAGGGTGGCTGAGTGCAGAGAAGAGCAGACATGGGACTCCAGCAAGATAAGAAAGGAGGGCCAGGCATGGTGGCTCACACCTGTAATCCCAGCACTTTGGGAGGCTGAGGTGTGCAGATCACCTGAGGTCAGGGGTTCAGGACCAACCTGACCAACATGGTGAAACCCCATCTCTACTAAAAATACAAAAATTAGAGGCCGGGCACGGTGGCTCAAGCCTGTAATCCCAGCACTTTGGGAGGCCGAGGCGGGTGGATCACGAGGT